TAAAATAAAGGGTCCCCAGCAGATGGGAAACTGAGGCATAAAGTAATGCCACTTATGTTAGATCAGTTGCAGGGCCAGGGAGAGACTATCCCCAAATTCCATCCGAGCCTGTTCTTCCTATCCACACCATATTAAATAAACCTTATTGTTATTACAATCAACAGGGCTGGTGGTGGTATTTATAAAAATAATCAGCAAAGTGGGAGTGGGTGGAGATACTGTGGGTGGAGAGGACACCTTCTCATTACTATCCAGACTTCATTTCTGCATTGGTAAATTCTGTTTTGGAAAGTTGATCCCACAGTAAAAATAAAAAAGACCCCGGGCATAACAAAGTGCCTTAGTTATCTGCAGCGGGCAGAGCTTCCTGCTGGAAAGTGCACCCCAGGAAGAGGCAGCTCCACCCAGCCTGAGGGCAGGTGGCCCAGCTCCCCTCAGCCCTGAGCATATTGCTGCCTGCAGAGGACAGGAAGCTCCCAGGGGACTCGAGAGCTCAGGGACCTGCTCCTCAGCCCCAGTTTGTGCTGAGGGTTGGAAATCTGCTGTTATCGTCTATCCCCAGGTCACCCAGTCTCTTTCCAGAGTTGAGTTTTTATTCTAGGCTTTTGCCCATACTAACCAGAGTTCCCTTTCTCCTACCCCCTCTTACTTGTGGGTTTGGGGTCATTTGCTTAATTTTCACAGGATAGATGAGCACAGGTGTAATAAGCAGGTGCTCCACCAGCTCCAGCTAATGCTGAGGTACCTCAGCATCTGAAAGCAGGCTTGGCACTCATAACCTTTCCTGGAGATGCCCTGGTGGGATGGAAACAGCCATCAGTTAAGATTCAAAGCTATGAGCTCCAGTGCCATTCAGTCACCCATTTATTGTGTAGTTCTTGCCTTCTCTGAGATGATGGACAGGGAAATGCTTTTTTATAAAGGGCTTTATGACCACAAAATGCTCTATTACATAAAGAAAGCCTATTCAATTGCTGAAGGCATGGTTCTTCCTCTTGTCTAGCCCAAAGCTTTCATGGGCACATTCTCCACCAGCTTTTATCTGGAGGAGAAGCCAAAGCCTGCAAACAGCCTTTCACGGGACTCATTGCCATCACCTTTGACCAGGGCTGGCATTCAGCCAGGTGCCTGGCACAGCCATGGCTGCTGCCAAAATGCTGAAACACTTCTGTGCCTGCTGCTAACTAGTTGCTGCCCTGAGTGGCCCCTACCATGATCCATCAATGAAAAAAATTCCTCCAGCCCTGCAGGGGTCCTCCAGGGTCTGCTGTAGCACAAACCAGATTCCCTTCTGATTTTTAGCATCACACCTGCCTTTCATTTATTACAGATATAAGATGTATAACTACAAAGCAATGGAGCTAAATTTTTAAGGAATAGCAGAATTAAATACGCAAATAGAATAATATTGTTATTATCAATTAGCCATTTTACTCTTGAGGCTTGATTCCACTGTGTATATGTTTGGAATAATGCAAAATAAAAAGTTAAGCAAAATTGTTTTCAATCAGTCCATACCTGGTAGCCCCTCTGGGTAGGTGAGAGAAATAAAGATGAAAGCACCATGGATTAGGAGAGGTCCTGAAGGATTCAGCCTGACCACTGCGTTGCTATGGAAAAATCCCTTATTTTGTCCTATGCCCCAATTTCCTGTCTGTGCAATGCACATAACCGTTACACATGTACACGCTTACGCACATGCACATGCACATTCCCAGAAAGGCTAGGAGGAGTCTAAACATGATAACATGTAAGACATTTGGAGTTCCTTGGGAGAAAGGTGCAACATAAATTATGCATCTATGGGACCTCAGGACTCAGAGGTGTTTGTTCTGTGAGGTTTAATTTAGATGATTTAGGACTTCCAGAGTCCCCACAGATTTTTCGGCAACTACCTCATGCTTAGTTCTCTAAGCCAACTGAAAAAAGGAACAGAAACAAAACACCCTGCTTCTACACAGGAGGCCTTAACAGCTCTGTTTACTCCTCCAACACAAAGCCCTTGTTTAAGTGTGACAGATGGCAGTGCATGCTTCTCTCCTTCTCTCTCTCACATCTCTCTCTGTCCCTCTCTCCCTCTTGCCTTCCCTCTCTCCTTCCCTCACTTCAGCTGCTCTCCTCTGTTTCTTTGCCCCCTCTGCTCTTCCTTTTCCCCAGTCCTTCCACGTGTCCTGAATTAAACCATAGGGCCAGCAGGGATAAGGACAGACAGAACCCCAAGACCTGGGAGAATGCCTTTGCCCAGCCAACCATTTATGCTGCAGGCTGCAGGCACACACATCACTGGTTGGTTTGCAGCTCTCATATGGAAATAGATTTTTGAAGACAGAGAGACACACCTTTGAAACGGTAGGGGGCTCTAAGCAAACATTAAAAGGTCCATAAATATTTATGTGGCAGGTTTCCATGGGTTGCTTTCCCAAAGTAATCATACTTGATGCATTCACACACACACACACACACACACACACACACTTGTTTTCCTTCTGGGCCGAGCCACTCCCAAAAGTAGACCTAACCTCATACTGCATGTTTACTGAGCTAAGCATAGTCTATAAACCAGCTGCAGTGGAAAGCAGCATGTGAAGGATTGGATGTGCAAGAGCCTTCACTCCATCCTTGTGGAGTGCTGATTCTGCCCCTCTCAGACCCAGACGAGTGACTCAGTCTTTCCCAGCTTCTGTTTCTTCTGTGGAATGAAGGTATTCCAGTAGATGGACGATCTATAGATTCTTTCCCAGCTTTTAGTATCTAAGATTCTATGAGCAATCACACCAAGTCTCTTAGAGAATTCTCATAAATCAGTCTCCCTGACACCTCAAAACCTGGTGGGGGAAAGGGGAGGCAGAGGAAAGTCTATCACAATAGATGTTAAATCAGTGCTTGAGTGATGGCCTGTGCAGTAGCAGAGAAGAGAAGTTAGCGGCCAGGTATGAAAACATGATATGAAGGTCAGTAGGGAAATTACTCGCTTATAAATAGAGTCTGAGAGGGGAACAGAGAGGAAAGAATCGATGTAATAGATACCAAGCAGGAGTAGGAGGCAAGATTTGGCACCTGCCAGGATGTCTAGAAGAAAAGATGGCAAAAAAGCAAAATGGGGCAAAAGGAGGTATGTGCCTGCTACTGATCCACTTGGTCTCGTGAAATTTACTCTCAGGTCTGAAACATGCTTCCAAGAGAGGCCTTCTGCAAGAAGCAGCATACTGGCCCTTTTGGAAGAAGCCTTACTGTGATGCCATTCTACACAAGGATAATCACTATCCCCCTGGCCAACCCCCACCTGCAGACAAGAAAGAGTAGAGATCCATGCCCAAAGCAAAGCGGCTGTTTGAGAAGTAATAGCTACATCTGCAAATGATTAACTCTAGGATTTATTACCAATTAGGAAAATAAATCTCTGCTTACTTTGGCTCCTGGAAAGATGATTTCACTGGGGGATGGGGAGAGGGGAGGGGAGAAATCTGAGCTGAAAAAGACACACTTCAAACTTGAAAGAGAGCAGGATTTCTCCAGCACCAGAGGGGAAAGCAGACTTGATCTTGTGGTTCTGGGCAAACAGCCCAGCAGATGCCTACAAACTCAGCAAAGTCAAAGAGACCAGTGCTACTCAGAAGAGTTTGCATGACTGATGGCGCCCAGTGGCCAGGCCATAATAGGCCAGAGTTGGCAGTGAAGTATATGCAACAGAAGCTTTATGTTCTTGATCTCAAGGGTTCTCAGCCTTGGCTGACCTTTGGAATCACCTGTGAAGCTTTAAAAAGCAAACCTATGCTTGGGTCACACTGCACATCAATTAAATCAGATCTCCAGACTTGGGGCTTAGTTATTAAGGAGGTTCAAAAATTCCTCAGGAGACCCTCTAGGAGTTTTGAGAACCACTGCTTATCCTCACAGCAACCCCAGATTATAAGTACAGTAACTCTCACAGTTTTACTGATGAGAAAACTGAGGCATAAAGAGGCTAAGTAACTGCCCCATGGTTACAGAGCTAATAGGGACAGAGGCAGGATTTGAACCCAGAGCTTACACTCCTATCATGCCCTATGACCTCTCAAGCTATGGTTCCCAGCTTTCCAGGCTCTGAGCCTTCATGAGCTTTTCAAGGTAGAAAATGGGAGCTCTCAAACTATTTTTATATATCATTTCAAAACACTTCTGATAGGAATGAAACAGCCCATTTAATGCTACATATCAACAAGCTTCTTACTTTGCTTGAAATTGTATCAAAACAAAGAAGGTTGCACTGGAAAGTCCATGCTTACCAGGAGTGCTCATTCATTCATTCAACTAATATTAAGGGACAGTTTTCTGCAGAGTCTACCAATTAGAACCACCTCATTCAAATAATCACACAATAGATGTTCTAAAGGCAGTAACAGAGGCATGCAATAGACACTCTGAGGGCCCACAGAAGAAAGTGGACAGCTCTGAGTGGCCAGTAACGTATTATGTGTCTGGGAGTGAAAAATGGCAAGGTAAATCATAGGGTAATTATGCAGGTTGCTAACTGGTGAAATAAAAGATGGAGTCTCTAAGTGGAGGTATGGGATAATAAAATGCTATGAGAAGATTGGAAATACACTGTTGGTGGTCCATAAATATATAAACAGGCTAGAAAATGCAATTCCTGGCTGGCGTCTGAGTTGTCATGGGCTGGATGTCAACAGGAAAAATGGGGACTGATGTGACCTAGGGAGACTAAATACTGTCTAAAGAGGCAGCTGGCTCTCACCGTCAGCCAAGCTAAATAGGAATGTGGGTACAGAGTTCTCAGAACTTTTTATTTTTGGGGGGAAGTTATACATATGGTTTGCTTAATGCAAGATACACAATTTTTAGATGACATCTAATTCAAATATTTTCCAAACACTGTGTAGACCAAAGAAAGCACACTCACCGCCAGGTCTGCCTTCACCATTGAGAGTGGTCTCCCCCCTAGTCCCATGGGTGCCAAAGCAACTGCGTACTCACCTGTGCCTCCCCTCCACCCCCAACAGGTATGCTCATTTATTTTGGGTATGGCATCTGGAACAGCACCCTGGAAATCAGCGCCCGAGAAGAAGCCTTGCACCAAAGCACGTACCAGCGCTACGACGTGGACGACCCTTTCTCGGTGGAAGAGGGTTTCTCCTATGCCACAGAAGGCAAGAGCCAGGAGAACTGGGGCGGGCCTGCTGAAGACAAAGGCTTCTATTACCAGCAGATGTCAGATGCGAAAGCAAACACCCGGACAAGTAGCAAAGCAAAGAGCAAAAGCAAACACAAGCAAAACTCAGAGGCCCTGATTGCAAATGATGAGTTGGATTATTCTCCAGAGTAGGAGCAGGCACACAAGAAATATGCAGAAATCATGGTGATTTATTTTCAGTAACCTAATCTGTGGGCTGGAAGGTGCAAACTTGTTTGGCTCTCATTTCAAAAATCCAACCTTCCCCGAAGTCAGTCCCCACGCATAGCCTGTCATTTGCTGCTTTTGCTTTTCAGAATAGTTCTGTCGAAGGGATTCACCTGGGCCCCTAATGGGCCCCCTTGTAAAAAATAAACAAGAAGCTACAAGACATTCTGTCTTAGGTGCACCCATCAGAGCTGATGGCAACAAATGTTCCCTAGGCCTGTGCTTTGCTGGTTGAATCTTTTTGCTTCTTGCTGAAATCTCAAGAAGCCAGGAGAAAACTCCTTGGGCCACGCTCGCACTGCGGCTCCTCCTGCAGATGTGCCAAAGCAGGTGGTTGTGGGCCCACGGCAGTATTTCAACCACCTGAGCTCTTCTCCACCTGCTGGGCTGAGAGCTCCCTGAGGCCAGGGTGGTTAGGGACGCACTGACACCTCCTGAGCAAGCGGCCCTTCTTCCTGAAATCTCACAAAAACAAGGTCATGGAGAAAACACATGCTTCTTTCACTCACTAAGGTTCTCACAGTTCCCAAACTATAACTTTAGGATCCAGCAAAGGTCAAGGACTCTGAGATCATTTCCCCAGAAATTTCAGGTTCACCAGAAAGCAGTCGTGCAAACCCGATGACACGGTAAGAAGCACCATCAAAGCTCACCTTAAACACCCAGAAAAAGTAAATAACCATCTCTTGCAGTGAAGGCCAGAAGGGCATTGGCAGAAATCAATTCTCTGTCATGCCTTCTCATATACCAGACTCCTGCTGATAGGATGCAAGAGGGCAAAGTTTGGAGAATGATTTCATGGCACTAATATGCCTTGAAGATGTAGGCTATTTTATAATCAGATAAAAATCTTTACAAGGAGAAGTGAGCCAGCCACTGAGGTCACATGGCAAATTCTATTTCAGGTTTTTGAAATTATAAATTCTGGAGTTAAATACACAACCATTGATTGGTGAGTGCTACTCTGAAAACAAAGATGTTGAAGCTCAGCTACTTAGGTAATTGCATTCCATGAGATCACATTTCACTTCTGAACCTCATTCCTCCAGAGTAGCTCACTTTGGGACAAGTGTTTTTGCTGTCTATTCCCAGATCAGTTCCCTGAAGCCCAGAGAAATATCTACCTGGGAAGGTCTAAATCTGGGCCATAAGAGAGACTCTAAAAGGACTCTTCTCAGAAAAGCTAGATGAGAGAATTTGCATCAGGAAAATAACACATGGTCTATAAATTCTACTCTTGGGTTACAGAGATGCGCAGGGCTGCACTGATGTGTACACATGTCTGCATAGAGATGTGTACACAAGGGCACAGTCTGCATAGAGATAAGACTTTTGTGAGAATTTCCTGAAAGGGGAGCAAAATAGAAAATTTCTTGCCCTGTCTCTCCTGAATCTGACATTATGCCAGAAGTTTTCTAGAATACATCAACTAAGGTTTAAGTATTCTTTCTTAAAGGTTGAGGTTTATGCCATCTTGGCTTCTTTAGGATTATGGAGATGAGACAAAAGTGCATTTTTTCACCCAGTTACCACTGACTGAGAATGTTCCCAGTGCTAAGTGATGGGAGTGAAGTCATGTAACATCTGCCCTGGGGGCTCACAGCCCAGGGAAGGAGCAGTGCTGGAGTCTGAAGCATGTAAAACAACCTGGCCTCACAGGTCTTCCTGTTGGTGCACTGGGCTTTAATATATTGTAAAAAGAAAGCTCAATTAAAACTAGTATTTTTAAGTAAGTTGCATATCACACCCATAGCCAATGAATGCCATTAAATTCAAGTAACTTCTGTTTTCTAGATATGCTTTTTATTCCTCTATATTAATGGCTTAAAATTCTGGTTTTCTGAGGTCGTTTTATTTTAATGTAGGGTATGGCAGTGCCATGTTTTCTCTTCCCTAACCTTAACCATAAAGACACAACGTCTGGTCTGTGAAATATATCCTTGGGGAATTAACTGTAAATTAATCATTGGCAATTTTGTAAAAACTATTTTGAACTGGGTTTAGGCCTCAACAAATCTGCCTAGTTTAAATATAATCCATTGAGATACCCAGATAGGTAGGATAGGTCTATGTCCACTAAAAATGTTCAAAGAGAAATATGAACACAAATAACAAAATGGTAATGTGGGTGAAAGAGCTTCCTTTCACTAGTGAAGTTTAGGAGTTCAGGTCACAGTAGCCTGTGGGCAGATGGACGGAATTTCTCTAGCCTGAGAAGAGAGAACCATGCTTTGGTGAACACCACTGGCACTACTCTTGGGAGGATGCTGGGAACCATCCTCATTCCAGGAGCCATTTCTCCCAACAGTGTATCTATTATTTTTAAGCTTTGCTCTTTTTATTTCTCTAAAGTCCATTAGTCATCTTCCTAGCAACCTTGGTTTATTTTAAAAATTAGTCAAGATGATAAAAAACAGTTTTTAGGTAAATAGATGTTTTTCCCCATGATTACTAGCCTCTGTGAAACAGACCCAGATTTCACAATGCAGTGTTCAAATACCATCAGTCACTAGAATTATTCTATTAGTGTTTCCTAATAATTCTCTTAAGACTGCATTTGGGGGGCTACACTAGAAGTAAGATTGCTTTATCATTACCATAGAAACTTAGCCCCCTTGAATGGAGTCCAAAGAAGACCTACATTTTATTGAGTACTTCTCTGTAGCAAGAGCTCTTCCAGTGAGGTTTCGTTATGTGGAGATGTGGTTTGGAGCCAAGCACTTGATTTTTTTTTATTGTATTCTATTTATTGCCACTTTGCTTCACTTCAAAAGGATTTAAGGTGGCTATTAAAATACATGTAATACCAAAAAAATTAAATGAGGATCTTGAGGAAAATAAAAATGGAAATAGAAAGGATGAAACAAAGCTTGAAGTATGTTTAGTGTGCAAGTGAAGAACCTTGATATGCATTGCTAAATTTGCCAATGAGGGGGTAACTTGAAAAATACTGGAATTGTTGGTAATGACAAGAGTAAGTACTCCTTCATGATAAGAACCAGTCTTTCCCAATGAGGACAGAAAATTTCAATAGCAAAGATTATTGAAACCCACAGATACATTTCAGGCCTAGATTTTACCAGTCACATGTGCCTGGCATACAGTGGATATTCAGTAAATATCTGTTAATTGGATAGATGGATGGATGGATGGATGGATGGATGGAAAAAGAAATATCATTTATTCAACAATATTTTGTGGAGTGCTTATTATTTGCTAAGGCATAAGAAATAGGAGAAATAGGATATATAGGACATATAACTAAAGAACAATGGTGAAGGTAACAGGTGAGATGAGGGAGTTATAATGCGTGGTGGAGGTCTTTCCACTGGAAAAATGATAAAGAATGCAGCCCTTGTGTTGAACCTTGTGGAACAGACAGAAATTTATCAGGTAGAAATGGGGGAAAGGCTTGCCAAGCGGAGCATCAGCACGAGTAAGGTGTAGACTGTAGCCAAAAGCTGTCTCCCAACTAATAATTTGTGCTGTGCCTCCTTCAAGGGAAAGCAAGAAACTAGGAAACTAGGCTGACTAGGAATCAACAAATTATGATTTATGCATGATTTACTTACAGAACAATAGGAAATAATGCTGAGAAGGCAGGTTAGGGCTCACTCACAGATAGAGCTGAATGTCATCTGAGCTGGCTCTTCTTGGGTGGGAGGCCCTGGGGAAGTGACAAGAGTATGAATCAGGGAAGACTGGACTTTAAAAAGCCAGGGCAGTGGCTTCAAGGGCCTGTGCAAGGAGCTGGCAAATCACATAGACACTCCAAGTTGATTTAACATACTAAGAGGGAAAATATCCATACCATGTATGACTCTTTCCCTGAGTCCGATTTCATCATCAACCTAGAAGAAGTATAGTCATTGAACACATGGACAGAAAACACAAAGTTTTTGTAGCTACTTTAAAATTTCCAACAGTTAGTTTAAATAACACAAACCTAACTTTTTATGCCTAACTAATCTCACCTCAAGGCTTTACTCAGCTTGAGCCCAGGGCCACTCTGAACTTGTAAAAGAAATTGAATGAAAGAATTAGATTAAGAATCCAGTTCTACTTTTTAGTAACAAACTAAGAGCTAATCAAATGTCTGCATAATGGTCATGTCCAGCCTGTTTAAGTAAACAGAACAGAAGTTGTTGAATTTAATGACCCATCCTTCTCTAGAACATGTGGTCTAGCAGGATATAAACCTAGCAGTTAATGGGGGAAAAAACACAAACTCCTCCAAAGAACTGTCTTTTCCCTATTCTCCTGGAAAAAAGTTGATAAACTTGAACTCCCTTACCTCACACTTGTTGGAAGTCTACCTTACAAGGGGCCACCTTATAAATAAAAGCTACAGGAGTTTGAGAATCTGCTTTAAAAACTAGAGGAAATTGCTGTCCCCTCTCCCACCAGGTTTTACCAGGCGCCCAAGACACCAGTGGAAGCCAACTGAGTGTCAGCCACAGATTTACCTGATTTTTTATCGCATATTAGAAAATCTTATTAGGAGGAGAATTCAGAAATCAGGAAGTGTCTCTATAGCTAGAACTAGGGTCAGCTCACCAAGTACAGGTGGCAGTTAATGGTCCACTCTTGGATTTGAGCTTTCAGTCCAGAGATGACCTTAATTTCTTATGCTGGTGGAGAGAAAGCGAGCAAAGGAAACACAAGACTTCAAAGTGTGCCACTAGGGCTGCAACAGAGCCCTGACATTTAGAATGTCCATGACATTTAGAATGAGACTAGTCAAGGAAGATGTTTCTATCTGAAATTTTCAGGAAGCCCTGGTTTCCCCTGTATCCCAGATGCTGAGCACCCATCTGTCCACAGAGTCCCTTTGGAATCTCTAAGAGAGGAGCCAGCTGGTAACCAGTAATGGCCTGGCCATGAACTAGCCAATACTTGTAATTAAACAATGAGCAAGTGCAGAAACAGCACTGCAGAATGCAGGCCCCACTCACTATAAGCAGGAACTAGGATGCCACTTCACCACGGAGTTTACTTCATGTGTCTTAATTGGAATGATGATGGGCAGTGAAAAGACCCTTCCATGTACATAACTGTCAGTCCTGTGTCAATTTGCATTTTCTCTAAGGCTTCAGAAGAGAGGCTGTTATAATTTCTTTTCCTCCTCGGGAGCCACTTCCTAAAATAAAATACTTTCCTCTTCTTGCTCAGCTTGAGTAACACATGATTCATTCTGAAATACCTAGGCAATTGCCTTTTCCCAAAATGACTTCTCAAGAAAATGTTCCCTTTTTTTTAAGGACTTAAAGCCCAAGAGGGATTAATGGACATTTTGAAGCCCATCAAAAATAAACATATAACCTGCAATACCAACTAAAATAGTGTTAGAAACCCTTAAACAGTATTCTACATGCGTGGAATCGCCAAATTCTTATAGGACTTTCACAAAGACAGCTTTGGGCTTGAAGTCTTCTGGAAGCAGGTACCTGTAATATCTTACTTTAAGAGACCATCTAGTACATGTTGTTGCAATAAGGCAAGAAAATACCTTTGTATTTGAACTAGGAAACAGGGGCAGCCCGGGGGTTTTCATTAGGGAGTCCCTCTGTGTTTGTTTGGTTTGGTTCTGTCCTATTATGCTTTCCTGACATTGACATGGTAGACATTGGCTGACAGGAATTGTGGCTCATGTGAATGTTCCAGGAAGTGCTGACTTTGAAGACTTTGTTTATTCTGATATTGCGATGAGGAGACTGTTCCTTCCACATCTCCAAGAGATTGCCGCAATACACTGGTCTCATCCACTCACGCTGTCAAAGGGGAGACCCTCCTGGAAATCACAAATCCCCACTTCCCCAAGCTAACACACTGTTAATGCTGTGATGGCGCTTAAATACCTCAACTGTCTGGGCTGCTGGAAGGGGCTGCAGGTTTTTAAGAGAGCAGCTATTGTCCTCCTCCCATGTAGTTACACCACCTTGATGACAGGACTCGACATTCTAGCTTTTTCTCACTGTGGAAAAGAAACATTGCCGTTTAATTCATATCCAAAGTTATAAATACAGCTTGTAAATTTTAACTAACTTGCTTCGTTTTGTTTGGTCCTTGAGAAACACAACTTGCTTTTTTGCAAATGGTAATTTCTGGTGGTGTTCTCTGCTACCTTTTTTTGTACAAAATGGCCGTATTCGTTAAAGTTTGTTCATTTTGTGGTTTTAATTCCCATTGGTGCACTGTACAATGGGTGCTGTAGTGTATTCATGAAGAAAGAAATGATATGCAGATATGTTATGGAGTGTGTTTTATTTTCAAATGACTGTGATGTTGACATTATATTGATTTATTAAGATACTACAGGAAAATTCTTAATTTACCAAAATGTGTATATTTTAATAAATGCATAAAGCTTTATTGTGTGCCTTTAAATTTAAAGGTGTGTTTATAAAGAATATCAGAAATAGAAGTGTCATACTATAAAATATCCATAGTAATGTAAAGCTTTTACACAGGAGACTACCAAAAGAAAAAAGAAAAGAGAAAGGAACTTTCCCATATTTTGTTAACCTTTACCAGTCCCTGAAGTCTCGTACTTTCTTTCTATTCTAAAATGGGAATGATAAGTTAATCTTGCCTTAAATGTTTCAATTGTCCTTTGTAGAAAAGCTAAGTAAATGAACTCATTTTTCTGGAACTAACTGCGTTATTGTGGAAAATTCATTTTCAGAATAAAAATATTTTTAAAATTACAGCTAATCGACTACTAAAATTTAAATTTGAAGAAAATCAGTACCATCCTAACTTTTTTAATTCCCTGTATTTCCATGAGGAGAACCAAAAGTTCCACTTTAGGGGACACTGAGGAAAACATCAAGTGAGTCAGTCTCCCTCTCACCATTTTCTTCTACAAGGAACAGGGCTCTGTCTGGCACCCTGCTCACTGCATTGCCTCCTGAATTAACCCCAGTGCCAGCTCCTAGTCACAGCCACACCCCCCACCACCCTCAGCACTACCGAGCTTTCAATTCATTGTCCCGATTCATTTTAAGGGCAAACTGAAGGAACATTACCTGTCTATAGTCCAAAACACAATTACAATAGCACGAGTGGTAGTTTAATTTATTTTACTGTTTGATGGTACAGGTAGTAACACCATGAAAAAGGTAGAGTAGTACGGCAGGGTCACATACTTTGCACACCACTGAGGTAGAGCATAGACATGGGACAAGCATCATGATTAGTTTTTCCTGCCTATGATGAAAAATGCCAAGATATAAATAGTATAATAAGAACAGGAGGGACTCCATCTTAAGGATGAGACTCCATTTTAAAAACCAGGGAGTTAGGAAGTGAGATTCCTAACATATTTTATGGTAATCAGCCAGTAACCTACCCTATATTAAGGTAGGGCAAGCAGTCCTAAATGATACGCCCCCACTGCTTGAAGATAACGACTATCTTGTAGAAGAACAGGATCAAGAAATTCCTTGTGTTAAGTTTCTCTTACAGAATACCTTGAAGTCAGACTACGGATGATGACCTAATGTCTCTCACTGGAGAGACACATCATGAGGCCATATGTCAAGCCTATGCCCTCCCCCCCAACCTTTTGCCCCATTCTTGAAAGCCTTAAAAGACAGAATCCTAAGACTCTGAGCACACCTCGTCTCTGAGGTTGCTCATGCTACCCTTTTTTTTGAGTGTGTACTTCGCCTTAAATAAAGACTTCTCACTGCTCAACTTACTGCATTTTGTCTCTGCACTTGTCCAGTGGTAAGCGTCTTTGTCACTCTACCATTTCATTCTGTCTTCTAGACTTAAGCACAAGTCTTCACGCTCTCTGTCCTACTTCAGACAAGTAGAGACGAGCTGCTGAGAGCTCTGATTTGGGCTTGCAAGTTCACATCGCCCAGGTGACCCAGACGAGACTGAGGGTATGAGATCGTGCTCTTTAGTAGCCTGCCGGAAAATCTCCTTTCTTTGCCTTTGGGAAGTTCTCAGAACATGATCTCACTCCATGCAATGCCCTGCAGTTCCCCCAAAGCCTGGGGCAGAGCCTGAGCTGGACGCAGAGATGGAGGCAGCTGGGATTCTAGCCCTTGACCTACCGCCATGAGAATATAAGCCCCTTTTTATCCTCAACATTCCGTTTTCATTTTTCATTGTCACCGAATCAGAATAAACTTGCCTGGAGCTGAAACCTC